GGAAGGAAGGTAATTCAGTGTGGTACAGTCAGCCATCTGAAATGCAATTTACTCGTGGCGGGGGGGGGGGGGGGCTGAGCCGAAAATTTGGGAAATTTAGTGCCCAAATCAGTGCAACATTGTGATTCAGGGCCGGGGCACTTGGGGCGAAGAGTGGTACGGTAAATACCGTAGTGATCATACCGTGTCTGATGCCTCTGCTCTGCTATCACTCTTCCCTATCTTGCATGAATGTACTTGAAGTAAATTTCACTCGTATAAAATAGAGTAGTGCAGAGTGTCAATCAGCACAATATAGATAGATTATAATAAGCCGCTTTGAATGGGTGACTAATAGCAAACATGCCCGTGTGTATGTGTGTGTGTGTGTGTTAGGGTAGTTGGCACGTCAGTCTTCATGCTCTTTCTCTATCCCTCTCTCTTTCTCTCTCTCTCTCTCTCTCTCTCTCTCACACACACACACACACACACACACACACACACACACACACACACACACACACACACACTCTCTCTCTCTCTCTCACACACACACACACACACACACACACACACACACACACACACACCAGGGGCGGATCCAGAGATCTCTACAGGGGGGTTCCGGTTGAACCAAAATTGAACAGCCAAAATATTATGGAATCAGATTGTTTTGAAGTTGTGCGGTTGACATAGTCATGTAATTACGACAATCCGATTGTGTTAGTGGGAATCGCATGCTTGTAAAACGCACTACGGACATAATATTTTTCCATCATCGACCACACCATAACTGCGCCCTCCAGCCGGCCTCGACACGTAACGTTGCCACAGCACACCACCATCGCTGGAGCGTGCAGTTGTGGTGTGGTGGACGATGGAAAGCCTGTACAGGGCCAAATGCTGCTGCTTACCCTACATTGTATATATTATTATTTAGTACGGACACATAATCATAATAATTATACTTGAGTTCATACATGGGTACGTTGAGAGCCAGGAATGCCGAAATGACAACTAAGTTACTTTCCCTGTCCATTTGTACTTTCGGAAATTTTTGGCATTTTTACGATGCGAAGTGCTCTATAGTCACAGGACAAGAGCATCGTCTTCGCTTCAGTGACAGAAACAACAACAGCGAAACAGTGTCGACAATTGCACAATCCTTCCAATGTCATCTAAAACACATCGCTGGCGCAGCACTCCGTTCCTGCGGAGGAACAACTAGTCACTACTGCATGTAATGCTGCAGCAGGTAGAGATTACTGACTTTGCTTGGGTGTCGGAGCCCTCATCTTCTGAGGAGCTTGAACTCTACGTGTACGATTCGAAGTTCGTTGAAGAGTGTCATCACTCGGAACATCCTTTCTCTTCTGCAAAAAATTGTCCAAGGAATACTGACCGCACCCATCCTGAGCAACAGTGAATGACAGCGCCAATGGAGATAAGTTTGGATCGTTTCGAAAGATCAAAAAGGAAACAACCACCCAATGTTGTCTACAGTGTCCGTTTGTAAATCACGCAAAAGTACTAGACTACCGATACATGCAGTATCGATCTACCGAACGCGCATGCAGTGCACTGAGTCTGTACTCTTTGACTGCACTGACTGTGCATGTGATCGGACGGATGTCCTTTTGTGCACACATGATATTTTTCCATATTTCTCAGCACCACACTTTGCAAAATTTAGGGGGTTCCATGGAACCCCCGGAACCCCCCCCCCCCCCCCTGGATCCGCCACTGCACACACACACACACACACACACTCTCTCTCTCTCTCTCTCTCACACACACACACACACACACACACACACACACACACACACACACACACACACACACACACACACTCTCTCTCTCTCTCTCTCTCTCTCTCTCCCTGACATGCTCCATTAGCAACGTGCAACTAAGCATACTGCTTAGTATGCCCAGTAAACCCACACCGCAGTAAGTACTGCACTAGGAACGGAGCCCGAACTTCGGAAGATCAAACAGGAAAACCACTGCTGTTCTACATTACAAGCAGTGCAATGGCAAGGGTCTGTCCGATTAATTTCTTTGTTGTTTCTTGTTGTCTACACTGCACCAGCTGCCCATGAGTCCGTCTGGAGAGTTAGTTCTTCAAGCCAAGGTCTACCGGTCAGCCACATTAGAACGGCAAAGTAAGCACTGATCAACCGGCCATGCAGAACCATGACTTACATTAGTCTACATGCTCATCACCGGGATCAGTGAAGACCTCTTGCTCTGATCTCTGTTTGCACTGGCCGATAAGCTACTTGCAGGCTGCAAGTCAAACTTGGCCATGTCACACAGTATAATGCCCCCTCCCTTCCGCTGCATGATAATTATTAGACCTGGCTTGTGGGTATATTGGCTAACTTGAAGATGTCACCTTCAGGTGCAGTTCTAGATCTGTGATGCTGGCATTTTTTTCTCTTTTTTTCTTTACTAAAAGCCATGTGGTGCACGCAATGGGAACATGCAGCAGCCATGGTGGTGGGGGCATGGCTGCATCACGTATTTGTCGAATCCGAAAAGCCATGATCTTCTCTAATAGCGTGTGCATAGTAATGCGGATGAGTATCTTGCTCATCATGCTGTCACTTGATACCGCTGTTCATCCTCTGTAGCATCTCAAGCAGCAGCAGCAATAGCAGCAATGGAGACACAGCCGGGTGATCTTGAGCTAGCACTGTGTATGGAGGACAAACCCGATGAGTTGCACAAGAACATCACCATGCTGCGCAATCGTCGTGGCGCCATCCGACACGCCAAGCTGCACGAGGTCAACGGGCACCGCTACAAGGCGCGCTTCTTCAGACAGTTCACTTTCTGCGCATTCTGCAAGGAGTTTCTCTGGTATGCGGTCATGTGCATTGTATTGTGCATGATGCTCAGCTGACGATTGAGTGTGCATGCTCATTGAACCTCATTGTGTTGATGTCAGCCACCATATCGCCTCATTCCCCTGGGATACTACTAGCACTAAACATGGTACCTTCAGTCTTTCGACAAAGGCCAGCCAGCCTGTTTGACACGTAAACGTGCAAGGAGTTTGCAGTTTAGCTTGCATACATGACCCACTGAATCCCAGATGCAGACGGGCTGGAATTGCACACTATAATCAGTATACCCTTACTTTTGACACTTTCAGTGTTGAATTTTTCATTGTCTGCCAGAAGTGAACTAGATCTGGGCTCAAGCCAGGTATTGCTGCCTCTCTTTGCTATGTGGCATGCACAGGGGATTTGGCAAGCAAGGCTACCAATGCGAAGGTAAGTGAGCTGAAAACACACACACTGCTACTTATTCAATGGTCAGTTGGTCACTCTGTGCTGTTATGCATTGGGTGACATGTGATAGGCACATGCACACAAACACCATGTGTGCCGCCTGACCATGCTGCATGGATTTTGATGTGAATTTCTTTGGAGAAAGCATTATTCCCACACCCTGCTATTACCCCTACCCCTGCTTTTCCCATGTCATCGTTGCTTCCACTGCCCCTGCCGTCGCCCCAATCCCCGCAGACTGAACGGAGAAAAGTTAGAAGGCACGCCTGTAGGAAACTGAAAGAGTTTCTCTTTTTCTGTGTGTGTGTGTGTGTGTGTGTGTGTGTGTGTGTGTGTGTGTGTTTGTGTGTGTGTGTGTGTGTGTGTGTTTGACAGACTGTGAGCAGGTGGTACACAAGAAATGTCATCTTCTTGTCCTGGGGAAATGCCCTGGCGCCAAGGACCGGGAAGCCAGAATAACATCAGCACAAGTGAGCAGCAACTGCCAAGACTGGGCGTACATACATGCACAATACACTGCTGCCGGTATATGGCCGCGTATCATGATACGGGAATGGATGCTGCCCTGATCTTTTCTACATAGCATTTCTACATAGCGCAGTAGTAGCCGAGTACATGTACTAACTACTAACCAAGCGAACAGACACCACAAGTGTCGTTACCAACACATGCATTATAACCTATTGTAGGTAGCAAGCAGAGCCTAGCCGGGGGAGCTAAAGCATACCACGGAGGGAGAGCATTACTGATATGATAGACAGGCATGCTGATCGAGGTGGCCGGGGAGTCCATAACTGAAGCACAGAGGGCACTGGTAACTGGTTCAAATTCTGCTTGGAAGCAAAAGGATTTTGCTTGGTTATATCAGGACTCAACTTGTTACTGGCAAAAAGAAAGAACAATTCAATACAGGTTACCAGTAACTCATTCGCACTAATAACACGTCCATGTTTTTTTCTTCAAATGACGCACATTATCCTGGCAGGATCTCCATGCTCGGTTCAACATCGACATGCCGCATCGTTTCAAGGTGCACAACTTCTTTCATCCAACGTTCTGTGATCACTGCGGCACAATGATCTATGGACTGTTTCGGCAAGGTCTGCGCTGTCAAAGTAAGCAGAAAAATGTCCATTGCTTGGTGGAGTGATGTTATCGCCTCCATACTCAACGGCTATTTGTGGGGAGCATAAAGAACTTCTGTGGACACGGAAGAGGACTCATATGCAGCACTGGTTTCTTGCACTATACGTTTAGCTAAATAGCTTGCAGCTTAGTGTTGAGCACTGTCTGGAACTCTCACATGTATGTATCTCAGGGACAGGTGTCTAAGATCCTTACGAGTATCTCGCGGAGGTAGTGAACAACAAAAATTCTGGTTTGAATTTTTTGGTACTGCATTTTTTAACACCTACTGGAACAACAACCGTGACTGATGCACACAAGCTTTTCAAGTTCTTGGATGACTATAGCTTGTTTATGTTGCATGTTCGACTCCCAGGACCACCAATGCCCTGGGCAAGCGCACATACCGTAGTGTCTTGTATTAAAGCCTGTCTCATATAGAAGCCTGTTTTGAATACACGCCTGGTTTTTCGAGATGCACTGTCGGCACATAAGCCTGGTTTTAGTGTTGACATTATATAAATATACCTGTCCTGTGTAGAAGCCCGTCTCAAATAGAAGCCTGCCAAATTTCCCCAAAAAAGTCATATAAGCCCCGGCTTTTATAGACGACTTTACGGTATGCATGATTCGCATACTTGTCAACACTACCCAGTATAACCATCGACGTACCAGGTTCTTTGGGGTACGGATAAGTGAGAGCTGACCCAGAACAATGATGGTGTTCTGTATGGCTGGTGCGGGGTGGGTGCATGGAAGAGGGGTGGGCTGCAATGAGCAATTGGCACCTGCATACATGAGCATGGTCACCAAAAGGTATCATGATCTAGGGATAGTAACTCACGCAAACCCTGTGGTATCCTTTGCGGACAAATTGGCTTGCCACAATTTTTGAATTCCTATCCACTGATCTTTGCTTCTCTTGTAGCGTGTCATTCGAATATTCACAAGCGATGTGAGCGACGAGTACCAAACCTGTGTGGTATCAATGAGAAAGTAATGTCCGGTATGTTGGCTGATGTCTCCAAGGAGGTGGTAAGTACTATGTCTATATGCGTAGGAGGAGACAATCAAGCGTATGAGGTGGGCCGCCTTGCTGTACACTGCCTCCCCATCGCCTCTTTCCGCGCTTTCATGCTCACACCTGCCTGTTGCCCGCCACCCTCCTAGCACTTCTACTGTCGCGCCTTGGCCCGCGCCAGCTTTTTAGCCATACCTTACACCAGATTTAGCGCTAAATTTGTTTATGCTTGTGGCCCTATGTGTTTATAAGCATACTGTTGGGTAGACCCGAGTATCAGTTGTCTGATGACTGCCTAACGGCATGAAACTCAGAGTTACAACCAACTTGAACGTCCTCCGCTGAGTCTGCTATGGAGGAGTACATAATTATGTAATGGAACAACCCAACAGGCTGGTCACGGTTGAAACACTACTGTGCCATTGTGAATGTCTTTGGTGCAAATCTTTGTTAGGAATTACATTCGAGCTTGGGGGCGTCTTGGAGGCTCTTAGGTCTCCAGAACTGCATTTAGCTTTCCCGTTTTAGTACTACCAACTTATGTTGTGGTTGCGTGACTGCATGTCTGTGCACGACAGGTCACCTGGGTCTTGCAATGTTATGTGTAACATGGATATGAGATCATGCAAAGTGTAGGCCAGCTGAGAAGCTAACTTTCTCTCCTGTTTACTGGTATGGGTTGCGCTATGTAGGAGGCCAAGAAATCTGCCTCCCCTGCAACAAAGAAGAAGGCAATGTCACCAACATCTGCAGCCAGCAAACCCTCTCATCTTGCCGCACAGGGAAAGTCCAGTAAGTAGTTTCCTGTACTTGTCGACTAGGGCTTCATACCGCTATGCTGCGTGTGCATGTGCATTCAACTGCTGGAGTGTGAAGTGAACCTGGTAGTGTGAAGTGAACCTGGTAGTGTGAAGTGAACCTGGTAGTGTGAAGTGAACCTGGTAGCACCTCATTTAGACAGGATACAATACTGGTGCTGCAGGTATCATGGTAACATAGCTGCAGCTTTCACATTGTGTTCTGGTCGTGTTGCAAGTAGTAGTACACGCACTTCAATCAAGGTCATAGCATGCAACGCTCTAGCTTGGTGTGTTGTAAGTTACACACAGGTACAGTGACAATCAGTGGCATGTAGGAATTCACAGCATTTGTGGACAGGATACGAAAATCATAGTACCCAGAGCGATGTGCGTTTTGACCGCGGGATCCATGGTCTATGCAGTCTATGCAACTTGTGATCGCGATGGTGGTTTTGACCTGCTGACCCCAAACATGGCCCAGACCGGCAATGTCATGATATGCAAGACTGGTGTATCCAAGGGTAACTGGAAGGGGCCGCGGCCTGGGAGAGTAATCCATGTTGGTTACTTGCCCAGTCATCTGTGTCTTCTCCCCGGCAGATGCAACAACTTCCTGATGCAACAACTTCCTGGTAGTATCTGCTTGTGGTTGTATAACTTCCCGGCAGTATGACTGTGCTGGTGATGGTACACACCATACAAGCTACCTGACCGTTTGGGGGTTTGGTCGTCAGCACAATGGCGCTGTTGAGATGGTGCCAGGGTGTATCGCCATGTGTCTGTCTCTCCCTGCCGCCGCTGCCACTGCCGATACATGTACATGTGCAGGTGATGCAGGTAGCATTGATGAAGGCATGGGCAAGGTTTCACTCAGCTCCAAACCCAAGTATCGCCTGGCTGACTTCCACATGCTGAAGGTCCTGGGAAAGGGCAGTTTTGGAAAGGTACGTCACTCTTTTATCAACGCAGATTGAAAACCGGCGTATAATCTACCCTCCAGTTGCCAACCCATAATTATAGCAGAGAGAATTTATGAACTACTTCTGAAGTAAGAACGTAACCCAGCACACATCTGTGTCCGCGTTGGTGCAAATAGTTGGTGTGCGGAATCATGCTTTATCTTGGCTGTGCATTCAAAGTTGTACAGCGTGTGCGTGGTCTGGACTACTAGAAAAATGTATCATGAACAGTGGTGAATACCAACCGGAATTGATTTTGGGAATCACGCTGCATCACTTGTCCCTTCTCCAATTCAACGTGTGTGTGTGTGTGTGTGTGTGTGTGTGTGTATGTGTGTGTGTATGTGTGTGTGTATGTGTGTGTGTTTGCATGTGTCATTCTGCACTATGTTCAGGTTATGCTCGCTCAGGTCAAGAAAAGCAAGCAATACCTTGCCATCAAGGTGCTGAAGAAGGATGTTGTCTTGGAGGACGATGATGTAGAGTGCACTATGATTGAGAAGCGAGTGCTGGCATCGACCGGCGGTAACCCATTCCTGGTTCAGCTTCACTCCGCATTTCAAACTGAAGTAAGTGGTTTGTCGAGGAAGCACACTATTCTAGGACACACCGGTACTTAACTGGGTGATTGCCGGCAGATCTTGCACACAGTCAGCTTGGGAGAAGATCAATTTCACTCAATGTAAAAAGAAGAACTGGATAGCTTGAATGCATGTAACGTAAAGTACCCAGAGAGTACAAAACCATCTTGTCCTTTTCTGGTCGTATTGTTGAGGTGGTGTCCTATCTGTAGATCATACGCCACAAACTTTATACACACATTGCACGATGTGCAGTCAATCCATATTCAATTTACCTTCGAGCGGACACGAGCTCCACACAAAAACCTACTAAGTGTGACCGTAATAGTATGCAAAGGTACACTCTGCCATACACGTTTCCTTTTCCTAGCTGTAAAATCAAGCAGCCTGGGGTGGTCTCGCAAGATGGAGCGCTCTCGTGGTACTTTGCAGTACCTCTATTCTTGTATTGCTAACTAAATTTGGTTATAACTGAATGTAGGTGGAACGACCCTGGAAAGAGACTTTTAAAGGAGTTAGTTTTAATACAAGTTCTGAAGGTGAAAATTTCCGTCGACAAAAGTGAACCTAAACATGCCATATTGTCCTAGCAATGTGTTATGTGTTATGTTCTATGTGATACAGTCATACTGTGCATTCCCTAATCTGACCATGATCACATACGAGCTGCAGAAGTTGCACAGTATGTAAGCATGCTCGGTACGGTGTTGTGCCATGTTACTACAGGGACACTTGTTCTTTGTCATGGAGTTTGTGAATGGTGGAGATCTGATGTTCCACATTCAACAGCAGGGCCGCTTCAACGAAGATCGAACTCGGTAAGGCTGCCTCGATGCCATGGGAAGTGGTGATAGCAATTTAGAGAAATGCAAGTGCAGCTGGAATATGCACAGTGCTGAAACACTCTGTTATGTAGTGCAGATGTATCACATGATGAAAGTGTTCTCAACTTCTCATACTAGTACAAACCAGTTGATAAGTTAGTAGGGAGGTTTAGTCCCACGTAATCCGTGGGTACTTTACGTGTGTGTACCACGTGATACTCAGTGACCCACGTACACACGTACAGACGTTTTCTGATTCACGACATACCGTGTATGGAGGCTCACCCACGTTTCGTCAGAACGTGGGTGAAAATCAGAATGGAGCGCATTTTGCGAGCTGTGAGGGTGCTCAGCTGAAGAAATTTCCGAAGCACGAAATCAAAATATTCGATGAGCTTCTTAGGCCCGGGTAGCTTCGTCTTTGACCAGGTTTGGGCCTTTCGCTTCATGCTTTTGTTTGTTCCGTGTGACTAAACACAACATTGCAACGTGGATACCCTTCATCCACTTTACGTGGATCACCCACGTACGCGTTTCCGTTACGTGGGAACTAAACCTCCCTAGTGTTTAAAACTTACAACTTGTGTATTATTTAGCCGTTGTACCGTTATGGTATGCATGAGCTATCTATCCTGAGCATTGCTTGACTTGTTGTACGGCCTGTCATGTGTTTTCCGCAGATTCTATGTGGCCGAGATTGTGTGCGGACTGCAACATCTTCACGGGAAAGGAGTGATCTATCGGTGAGTGCACGTTGTTTGAAACATGAACTACAACGTATGCATGCAATAACTGCAACGTATGCATGCAATAACTGCAGCAAGACACCACCAGTCACAATAGACCAGAGATCTACAGTCTCCTATTGTGACTCTGATATCCTATTGCGTCAACACGCATTCGGATTTACAGAGAGCAACTATCTGTCCATTACATTAGAGAGAGAGAGAGACGGTTTGTGTATCTGATGGGGTATGTGCTCACTCAACTTAGTGACTCAGTCCCACAGTAACTGTGTATGCCTTGTATCATTCTAACCAAAACATGTGATAAGGACTCAGATGATGTAGAGTCAATAATTTAGTCCAAACCGAACGCAAGCACCTTGCATTGCAAGCCTGCCCGCACGTGCAGCACTGTTGTCAGGGTGATCCTGTGTACAAACAACAAAGTTGCTTGCCAGAGATGTGACCAATATACTACTTGTGTAGTCATGTATGCGGCTTCTTGCACTCTCTATTCTACTACACTGCATTGATCCGTGTCTGTATACACACCTGCTGCAGAGATTTGAAGCTGGACAATGTCATGCTGAGCAGTACAGGTCACATCAAGATTGCTGACTTTGGTATGTGCAAGGAGAACATAAGCGGTGCGAACACAACCTCCACATTCTGCGGAACGCCAGACTACATTGCACCTGAGGTAAGCAGTTCAGTATTAGTCAGCCTTGCGAACAATACGAACTCGGCAGTGTGTAATACTGATTCAACGTTTGACAGTATCGTTGTATCGTCACATTGGTCTTTGGCAAATTGCTGGGGAAAAAATGCCGCTTCCTTCCATGTGGGTCCAAGGTTGCTACTCATAGAGTCATAGGCTGTTTGTAGCTATTCTTGCAATGCCAACGCAAATAAGTTTGTATTCTTGGAGGATTGTGCACATACATGTACAAGTACACAAATCCAGTGCTTCGACAGTGACCTGAAAACTGTGCACAAAGACACCATGTTGCCGGCTGTTGACCATACCGGCATTGCCATGCACTGTTTGCTGCCTGCAGATCATTGAAGGTGCACAATACAACCACACGGTGGACTGGTGGGCACTTGGCGTACTAACCTATGAAATGCTGCTGGGACAGGTGAGTAAGCTTGCTCAGTACTACTTGGGCAAGTTGCTGGAATCCGGGCCTGTAATAATAATAATAAACACAGCTCGCATCTTCCCTGAACCTGTTAGACAGGAGCAGAGTCGACGCATCTGTCAACAGTGTCAAGCCAAGTTAGTCTATCTCCTGCAGCTTGGAGAGCGCTCTCCACGGAGAGATCCGCTGCCTTCAGGTCGTGCCGAATCGTATCTATCCACCGCAATGGCGGACGGCCACGGGGTTTTTTTATGTCATTTGTGTTGATTGATAGCTCCAGTGCTTGGACCTGTAACTGTTAGAAATAACTTAGTGACGACCGTATCGTGCTGCACATACCGCGCATACTTTCCTGCTGCATGATCAGCCAGTCATGCTGTATAGCCTAAAGACAGGACACACTCGTTAACCCGATCTCCAAAACACGGCCATAGAAGAATCAAGTTGCTGGGGGTCTCTTGCATACTTTCCAATGCCAGTAGCTATTGTGTTTTCCAACTGCCAAACATGTGTATTTTGCTAAAATAAGAGAAACCAGGAAAAATGTGAAAATGTGGGTGTGAAAAACCAGTCCAAAAGGGGTGTGGCTGCACCCCTGACTGGTTATGAGTCTTATGACATTGCTTTTTGTAAGCGAGATCAGTGTGTAAAGTGATGTGCTGCACCACATTGCCTTGTTGCTCTCCTGCGCAGTCTCCATTCAGCGGTGATGATGAAGAAGCACTGTTTGGTTCCATCATGAACGATGAGGTGGTCTACCCTGTCTGGCTCATGAAAGAGTCAGCTGCCTTTGTCAGCAAGGTAACTACTGGCCAATATGAACGTGTGCCTAGTCCAAGATCCCCTTGTTAGTCAGGCGAGTGTTTTAGCATGACTGTACTGCACCAGGGTTATAGGCAAAGAGGTGGGGGGGGGGGGGGGGCAGCATCCCTCTACTCTAATGCCCCCCCCCCCCCCCCCCGCGCTCTGATAGTGCATCCCTGGCCTGGGGACTCGTTTTTCGATTTTGCGTTTTTACAATTCACACAATGAAAATGCGGCTACAAACCGATCGTTTCGGGTGCATTACATTTTGTGTAACAAGGATGATATTGGCAAATGGGAAAAATGGGGTTAGCTGCGTGCTTCCCCTGCCCCCGCCCCACCGGTGACCCCCACTGTTTCCCCTGGCTAGAACCCTGATATCTAGCCCAGTCCAGGGGATCAGCAAGCCATAGATCGTTTCTGGCAATATTAAACCAAGGGCACCGTTCACCTATCTCTATTCAGGTGGCACATAGGCCGGTGCCCCTTGGGAATATGCTCAACTATAGTCTCACAGCAAGGGAGTCCGTACTAACTGTTAGTCATACAGTTCACTTGGTTAGTTTGTGCTGTGTTGACCTTTGCTTGTGGGTTTTCGTGACAGCTGCTTGTCCGGGATCCAACACGTCGAATGGGCAGTGACCCGAAAACTGGCAGACAGCAGATCCGTTCAGATGCATTCTTCAAGACCATCAAATGGGATGTATTGGAGGCATGTGGCATTCCTCCTCCGTTTGTGCCGCAAGTGGTAAGGTCTTTGTGTACAATGCTGCTAAGTGAAATGATCCAATGACTCCGGGCATCAGTCAAAAAGCGTTAGGAGCTGTGCAGACCCAGACCCTGACCTGTGAACACTGGGCTGTGCACTGTTGCAGGGTGCTGTGTACCAAGCAGACCTGTGACCTGTGTACACCCGGTCGGGCTGGGCACTGTTGCATACCTGTGAACACTGGACTATGCACGGTTGCAGGGTGTTGTGCAGTCGCAGACCTGCTAACACTGGGCTGTGCACTGTTGCAGACCTGTGACCACTGGGCTGTGCACTGTTGCAGACCTGCTAACACTGGGCTGTGCACTGTTGCAGACCTGCAAACACTGGGCTGTGCACTGTTGCAGACCTGCAAACACTGGGCTGTACACTGTTGCAGACCTGCGAACACTGGGCTGTGCACGGTTGCATGGCACTAACTTACTCATGAGATTGAGTGCCACAGAACATGCAGCACTGTTGATCAGAGGATTTGACTGAACTGAATGAGTGTAACTTAAAACTACTCGAGTACTTTTGCCAGCGAGCATTCACAATGTGCTGAGCTGAATACATCCCAATGTTGCAATTGCTACGCTACAGGGGTACAGTCATGAGGAGACTTGCAATACACAATGTCATGTACTACATGTACATGACTTATAAACAAACCGTACAATTGGCAAAGCTGCGGTTACCCAGTTGCGATGCGGAGCTGCAGAAATTGATAAGTCTTCATGGCATGCATGCAGATGACGGTGCTTGTGCACGTGCGTGTGTGTGCTCATGTGTGTATGCATGTGTGCATATGTGTGTATGTATGTGTGTATGTATGTGTGTATGTATGCATGTATGTGTGTATGTGTGGGCATGTATGTATGCATGTATGTGTGGGCATGCATTTTGTCTGTCCTCACATTGCCGTACAGAAATCCCCGGGTGACGCAGGCAACTTTGATGTGGATTTCACCATGGAGCCGGCAGTCATCACTCCCACCGATGATAAGCTACTCAAGTCCATGGACCAGGAGGCATTCACAGGATTCTCCTACGCCAATGAAACATTTTGAACTGTGTGTGGAACCTATGGTCAGGCACTAACCTGAGTGCAGCCGCCTGCTGTGCCCACATGCCAATCCAACGGCTAATTTCCGGCAGCCTTGTAAAACAGAGATCAATGTCACACTTTTCCGTCTTGTCTCTTCTTTGGAGCAATTACGTAGTCCGTTTCTGAATTTTTCTAAATGATCAGATTTTTAGCTCATGCCTAAATTTCCAATATTTTAATGTACGGCCGAAACATTGACAAATCAGATGAGTATAGAAAGGATTCTAGACTGACATGAAGTAGGTATTTACCCTCCGGATATGATGTACGCGTAACCTGTAGTGCAGTCTAAACTGCACAGTACAGTTTACTTGTCTGCCATGCATTGCTTTTACACTAGGGTGCTGAGTTCTTTTTTTCCTTTTTAGGCTATGATTTTCAAGAATGTTATACTTTTCTAATTCGTCCGACCGATAGCTAGATAAGTACCTGTTACATCCATGATGTGGCTATTTTCCTTTTTCTTATTACAGTACTTTTATTTTTTTGTGGAACTAGCTTCCAATCCTGCTGCTCGCAGGTCCCGAAAAATGAGCGCATAATATATTATTTCTTACATAGAAATCACCCCCTCCTCATCCAGTCTTGTTCTTGTGTAAATGTCACGGTATTAAAATAGTCCGGGCATGTGAATGGCATCACCGTTTCTCGCAGTTCTGCACCCAACATACTGGTTGCTTGGGAGTTTCGGGCAGATGTGTGAATGGAAAAATTAATGTGACAGTTGTGTGTTCGCACGCACACACATATAAGTGCATGTCATGTACAGTTATTCTCAGCATGTCGGCAAGACATGCGGTTAAAATGCTACTAACTTAGTAGGGTATTAACTTACAGGCAATGACTGTCAACATGGTGCAAATGCTGATGAGCTTCAGTGATTCCGAGGCATGCATGCTCCAGGATCTTCCATTCTCTACGCGCAGACTCAGTGCACATGATTGTGCACACTCATGCAGTCAACGCCAGAGGCAGCACATACAGTCCATGACAGGTGCACACCAGGACATGTCAGATATGCCTGTACAGGTGGGAGCACAATGCCAGCTTAGCAGACAAGAAACCACACAGCAACACTGGATGGCTACACACAGCAACACTGGATGGCTACACACAGCAACACTGGATGGCTACACACAGCAACACTGGATGGCTACACACAGCAACACTGGATGGCTACACACAGCAACACTGGATGGCTATTACTAGCATTAGGAGCATGGTCTCTTCATGCACACCTCAACGCGAGTAATACTGAGCAAAAAGACGGAGGGTAAGAGCATGATGCATGTCTAACTACACACAGTAGAGTACACTAGTAAAGAAGAATAGAAAAAGAGATGCGGCACTAAACTACCTACACTACAACCTAAAACAAGAAAAGGACAGGAAACGGCGTATCACAAGAGGCAAGGAGAACACCTAGGTAAAAAAAGAGATGTATGATGGGACAAGTGAGAGGAGAGGAGAAGACTAGGCAACAAGAGATAGATGATATGGGATGAATGATCAACTAGTCATGCCTTATAAAGTAAACAAATATTGATAAAACGTGTATAAAAAGATGGTAAGAATATAAATCTCGTAGTAGTCTCTAGGAGAAAGGACAGCAACAACAAATACTTCATCTAGCACTAGTAGGAAGATAAACAGAGATCTCAGTGGGTCAGAAAGCTAATGTGTGCGTGGACAAAGCAACCTCAGCCACTTATCCTACTTCAACTTGACGAAAGCGAACCATGACTCTGGGAGTACAAATTCAAGCGGTAGACAAAAGTCAGGTATTTATATATATAAAGACAAGTAGTTCCTTCTGAATATGGCTGATCGTGGCAGTATGACATTGAACATTTCGTAACAGCAATTTACTATGATTGTAGTGGAGTATGTCTAGTATGTATACGCATAGACAAGGCTGGACAGGTGGAGGTGGATTGGAGTCTTTACGTCATCACGGATGGGTTCAAACTTCAAACCATGGGCGAGCGTGCAAAATTGGTCATTGCCCGCTGATTTTCACTAAAAACAAATGCAGGACGTGAAAACCCATCTGTAGTTCTGTAGTAGGCAGAGATGCACGGCTATTCAGCAAGATGCTGGCTAGCGCATGGCAGGGAGCTGACAATGCATTGAAACAATGAGTACTGTACTACTATACCCACAGAGAAGTGTCCATTCAAGCACATCAAGGCAGGATTCAGGAAAGTGCAGTAACTCAACTCAGTAGCATCAGAAGAGTTGAAACGAGAGTGCAGCTTGCTTGCCCAGCCCTTGTAAAGTCTCACCAGCAGATGGGCCGGTGGTCATATCGTCACCAACACCATGAGTGCGAGATAACGGGGAGCTCCGTAAAGACATCGCCGTTGCACTGGTAGAGGTAGAAGCTGGTGGCGTTCGGGATGATCCTCCTGGACGTTTGATTTGTCCAGAGCTACGGCTTCGCAAACGCTTGGCACTTGTGTTTTTGTCCGACTGACTTTCATTACTGCGCTTAGCAGTCAGCTGACGGCTAGCAGATCTCCTCCTGTCACTGGGGGTGCGAGGGTTGCGTGGGGTGTGTGGGGTGCGTTGTTCTCCTGCAACTGTGCTGCTGCTTGCTGAGGATAAAGAGGATGATGGCGATGGCGATGGTGGTAGAGGTGAATCCGGTGATGGGTGGGATGTGTCACGTCTCTCTGAAACACCAGCAGAGGCAGCAGCGTTACTTGTTGCCTTAGGAGGAGGAGGGCAACTGTGTCGGTTGTCTTGATCCATCTCCGTCTCCGTCTCTCTATGTTTGCCCCGCGCAGCACCAGTTATGCTACTATCTAACCTTTCCTTCCTGGTTACTGCAACACAAGTAGCAACATTATCCTCAGCAGTGACAGTCGCAGTCACGGATACATCAGCGGTGGCGACATCAGCGGTTGTGACATCACCTGTAGTGACATCATCTGTGGTGACATCATCTGTGGTGACATCCGCGGTGGCGGCATCCGCGGTGGCGGCATCCGCGGTGGCGACATCCGCGGTGGTGACATCAGCGGTTGTGACATCAGCGGTTGCGACATCAGCGGTTGTGACATCAGCGGTTGTGACATCAGCGGTTGTGACATCAGCGGTGGTTAGCGCAGTAGCTGCTGGTGTAACTCCATGGTCTGCCTGACTAGCACCATCGGGTGCATACTCACCACCGGAAGAGATGCTACTGGCAAAAGGCAAGGTAGCAAGGCTGGCTGGATCGGCAGACCTCAAACATTCCACATAGTGCAGCTTCAGACTTGGTTCCATATTAACCAGTGCTGTCCATCTAAGCGACTGGAATAGCTCCTTGGCACGCTGCACTACAGCAGAACTTTGCCGATAGTGGCATGCCTGGGCAAAGAAATGAGAAGATGTCATCACTGTCACTGCACCAGGCCAAATTAGTATACAGACACAGACACACACACAGACACACAGACACACACACACAGACACACACACACACACACACACACACACACACACACACACACACACACACACACACACACACACACACACACACACATGTACACACACACATGCACATGTACACACATAGAAACCCACAAAAACACACACACATACACACATACACACACGTGCGTGCACACACACACACACAGAAACACATACCGACACCTGACAGACAGAAACACACACCGCCACCTGACATACAAGACAGCTGCACCATTACTGACACTGGAGTATGTAGACTAGTGGACTAATACAAGCTGCTAATACTGTAGCCGTGCAGGTACAGTAGGTATACATGTAGGAGAGAGTGCTTCTTTACGCTTCATCTTGGTACACTTACCTTTTTAATGGTCAGTGCAAACTCTGGATATGTCCGGAGGAATTTGTAGGGGATCGATGACTGCTTCAGCTCGTTTAGAAGTTTAACACTGGTGTGAACATTCTAGATGGGAGAGCAACAACAAATAAAAACTCGTACTTCAGTACTCTTAGGTTATCCCCACTACCCACACTCTACTAGCTGCTGGCTATTCATATTGTAAGAATAAGGAGTTGTAAAAGCAGCAGCAGCAGCAGCAGCAAGACTGTAACAGTTGGAAATGTTGAGCAAACAAAAACCAACACTTCAAGTAACAAGAACATCAGGGTTTGCAAACCTACTGCCACCCCCCCCCCCCCCAACACACATACGCCCAGACACATACACGCACACATACATGCATTGCATGCTCGACTCACCGGAGCTTCAACAGTCAGTGACTCCTTCAGACTCAGCTCAATTGATAGTAGACGCTGATCAAAGTCACTGACCGGTGCTGTTAGCAACACACACACGCACACACACAAACACACACACGCACACACACACACGCACACACACACACACACACACAAACACACACACACACACTTGTTTAGATACATGTAGTAAATCAAAGTACATGTACCATACTGTCTACAGTCCATTTCAAAAATATAGACGCATGGTATTTTCGAAATATTTCAAATTTGGCTGGAGCTTCTAGAGATTTTTCCCGGAATATTGCTCAGGTCCTTCCCCCAATTACTCTCATATAGATTTTTAAGCGATCAGATAACAAACGCCCGATTTCAAAACTTTTATGCACAAAGTGATCACAGATGTTCTGTGGTATAGATGCCGGCCTAACGGTTTTTCGAAATCACGCGTCTATATTTTTGAAACGCACTGTAGTATAACAGTTTGTCTCATTTCAAAAGCCTGTTTCAAATACAAGCCCGATTTTCAAAATCGACCATCGGCATATAATTATAGCAATCAAGAGTACAAGTACAATCGATGCAGACATGGCCACACAACAACACTACAACGTTGTAGAGCATAATTCCGCTCATCAGTGGAAAATATCGGAACTAAAGGTTAGCTACAGTACATGAAAAGAACACTAACATTGATCATTGGCACATAAGCCTGGTTTTATGTAGACAAATACCACAAAAAGCCTGTCTTGCTACCTCTGTAAGTCATAGCACATACCGTACACATAGCAATAGTCTGGGCAACTGCACTCAAAATTCAAAAGACACTAAAGTTGACTAAACACTGAGCCCGAGTTGGGGATCATGCAATCAGGGGCTATCACCATGTCTTAGACATGGAGATTCTGATGGATTGGAACTTTCACGATGGGCAAGTAGGAAGGAACACTTGTTCTTACCACTTCTCGTTGGTGACCGCATACGATCAACACTGCAGGTAACACAAAGCGATGAAAGGTGACAAGTCAGTCACTGCATCTGACACCATTCATTTACTCATTCATTTACTCATTCACGATGCTTGGGTAGAAGTACAGTCTGTATCGGCTATAGCGTACCCTTTTGATTTCCGTGATTTTATCACTATAACCGATGCATCACTATATGCGATACGATAGATTTTTTCTTTTCTTTTTTCGATCGACACATGAAAGGCAAGGAAATACTTCCAGCATGGCGTCTTGACAAATGAGCATGCTGCATAGTTGACAGTGCCGGTATTTCCATAAAAAATTCTGTAAACTTATGTACATGTATCACTATAAAAATAAGCAACGTGAAGAAAGTAAAAAAAATAGGGCCTTTGATATTATTGCTACATGTATTTTAAAGTTATCACTATAGCCGATAATAATATAGTGTGTTTATGCATGTTTTGATTCTTTGTTGCCATCATAATATCCGATATATCATTACATCCGATAATATTGGTTATAGTGATATCTTTACTGGATAAAATACGTTTTGCTTTTGATATTTCGTACCAATATCACTGTAGCCGATATATTCTTATATCCGGTCACTCTATAGCCGATACAGACTGTATGTCGGTTGGTATATTTCGAGCAGCTCAGCAAGCAAACAGGTTGTCTCATGTCATGAGAGATTGGGAGCGAGAACTCCTAGACCAAACCGCACGGTCTTCCCCAAGTACATGCATAGCTTTGGCGCCGACAACACCGACCAAGGTGGTTGAACATGTGTTTTGTTTTTTTCAATCATTCCCCCTTGCCACACACACTCTTCTTTTTCAGAAATTCCAGCCTACACTCTGTAGGTATTCTCCAGCCTACACGCTGTAGGAATTCTCCAGCCTACACGCTGTAGGAATTCTCCAGCACCCGACCCTAACGCAGTTGTGTCTTACGGAATGCGCAGTGCCTGTCTTGACCTCCTAGGTTGCTGAGCAGATGATGTCATCCTCTTTTTGGCCAGCATAGCAGCAACAGCCGCACGGGATACGGATACCTATAGACAAACACACCACACCGTGTTCACAAGAAGACGAATGATATAAACGCGAACAGCAGCTTGCTCAGGTACTACATCCAGGACCATCTGAGTTCTCCAAAGACAGTGCACAATCATATCACAGTGCAAACGCAAGACCCACACCACTCGAACCTAAACATTGGAGCAATCTGCACTACGCGCACTGCAGTAGCCAGAACCTACGCTACACCCTGCACAAAGCATCGTACCAAGTCCACTGTAAACTTTGGCCATCGGAAAGAATTGAAGACACACATACACACACAATACACAAACACACACACACACACACGCACGTGCGCACACACACACACACATACACACACACCTAGACCAGGCCTTAGACAACAAACTCTCCAGGCAAATACTTTCCAAACTATGGCAATTACTTGGTTTTCCACACACTGGCATGGCCAGCTAATGACCCCAAGAAACAATGCTCAAAAGCCTCCAGTCCTTACTTTGTTGGGTAGAGAAGCTGCTGATCCTAAGCTTTGAGTGCGCCGCCGTGGTACTGGCTGCAGATATACATGTACAACCACCAGAGGCAACACCAATATTCAAAATGGCCACTGCAGTGTCCCAAAACTTGGTGACTGCTAGTCTGTAGTATAGATGAAGTAGAGACTATTCTTCAACACTACTCCCAAGCATGGCAGTAGTAGAGCCTAGAGGGTTGCTCTATCCTGAACTAACACTACTCCCAAGCATGGCAGTAGTAGAGCCTAGAGGGTTGCTCTATCCTGAACTAACACTACTCCCAAGCATGGCAGTAGTAGAGCCTAGAGGGTTGCTCTATCCTGAACTAACACTACTGTTACTTGTGGAGTACACTACAGTACAGGTATCAGTCACATGACAAGCTTGACAGGCATACAGGCATTCACACATGCAGAGTACAGCCAGCTATCAGCAGTCACATGACAAGTTCGTATTAGTTTGACAGGTAGCAGCTAGTCTAGCAGCACAGACAGTACAGACATTCACACCTGCACAGACAGTACATGCAGGCATCAGCAGTCACATGACAAGCAGCCCAGCACAGCACACATGTAACAGTTACAGTACAGTTCTGATTCTGTGGTAGATTGTGCTTGAAAGCAGCCAAAGAGGCTACTGAGTACTGGCAGTACTGCACTGCCATGCTGCCATGCTGGCATGAATGACTAGTCTACATACAGCTGCACATGACAATAGATAACTAACTTGATAAGGATTACAATCATGATACAGTCCTGTACTGAACTTGGCCTTTATTTGAAAACACCGAATGAAGAACTGTACTACTGCGCCTAGCAGTACTGTTCCTGAGGAGCAAGAAAGTGGGCATAAGTACCGGGTACACTCACTGTACTTCAATTAACAATCAAGCTCTTCACCCCCTACCATGCTGTAGTAGGTAGTCAGCAAGACTACAACAACTGTACAACTAGTACAATGCAGTGTGTCAAGCACAGTGACAGAGACCAGCAGGCTACTGACTACTGTAGCCTGCTGTTGGAGATGGCTTCACCCACACACAGTCTAGCAAAAATGCAGTATAGCCTTGTAGGTGGCCAGCAGTACTGCTTTCCGCTTTCGCATAACGGAATCCAGCCATAAGAAACACACTGTGCTTAAGGACCACTATGCCAAGCCACCACCTGTTGTATCACTGTTTCTGGGACAGGTCATTTGCTGCATACATTTGAACCTGCATTCAAAGATGTGTTTTAAAAGACCACCTGTCTAGGAAAGACCAGTGCCTCTGTGTAGCATGGAGATTACATGGTGTACATGTACATGTACATGTACTACATGCAATATGGCTCCACTGCACATGTACATGTACATACACTACATGCACTACTGTAAGTCAACAAATATTCGGCGCGTCTTTATTTTCGGCTATTTTCGGCCTCACCATATTTGGCCAGAAATTTGTTGCAGCCGCAATTTTGTTTTGCAAGGTTCAGTGTGACAGTGTATACAGGCGGCAGCAGTGCAGGCTGAAAATGTGTCGCATCCGAAATGTGTTTTAGCCCTGGGAGGCCGAAATTTGAATGGGCCGAAAATTTGTCGACTCACAGTACATGCCACAGTACATGCAGCAGCAAACAATGTACTGTTGTGGACATTGAAATCCGGCGAGAAATCAAGCGACCACGGGGCGCTGGCCTTGCAGCCGCGAGTACTCATACGGTACTGAAATCAAGCGACCACGGGGCGCTGGCCTTGCAGCCGCGAGTACTCATACGGTACTGTATAAGCAGAAAATTTCGTCGGTCAATAATTTCGTCCAATTCCAAAGAAAGAGAGTTCGTCCGGTTGTAAATTTCATCCATGAATCATAAGAGTGTATTGAAAAGCTGGACAAATCGATAGTCGTCCGGCATTTAATTTAGTCCAAAAGCTCCTTGGACGAAAAAGACGAAATATTCCAGGCGAATATTTTTGCTTGTACCGTATACATTCATAATAATTATGGCTCTATTCAGTCTATTGCGTACTGGACACTGCAGGTCTATTTTGCTGCGTGTACATACGTGAACTGCAGTGCGTGTACATTATAAGGGTGCCGGCCCCGGTCATTCCACCGGATTCCACTATCCACAACAGTAACATTACCAGCACAGTATCAGTGGCCTAACGTTTTATACATGTATTGTATACATACCGTTTCATCTCCATTATAAGCCCAGCGCTTATATATTTTCAACCAGTCCGGACCCTGGGCTTACATTGGAGACAGGGCTTCTACTAGAGACTGGGCTAATAATTTTTCAACCACCTGGTACATGTACATTGCCTATTATGTTTCATTATATCAGCAGCAGAAAGTTTCCCAGCAGGTACCGGGACTGCAGTTTTTTGCTTCCTGGTACTGAGTCTGTACTTTACATCTCGGGGATCACAGACCTTTACCACAGCATGTGTTTATGTGATACCGCGTGACGTCAAACCTGCATGAACATGTTCCATACGGTTCTCCATTATAAGCCCTGCCCTTATTTCGGAGACTGCGCTTGTATATCTTCGAAGCCCTCTTGGAGTGCGCTTACAATAGAGACTGGGCTTCTACAAGAGACTGCGCTTGTAATAGAGATACTCCGGTATATACATGACCTACCATATGGAATTATACTAGCACCCTAGAAACCAATCCTACACTCCACACATAGCAGATCAACAACCAATCCTACACTCCACATCATAGCAGATCAACAACCAATCCTACACTCCACACATAGCAGATCCAATCCTACACTCCACACATAGCAGATCAACAACCAATCCTACACTCCACACATAGCAGACCAACAACCAATCCTACACTCCACACATAGCAGATCAACAACCAATCCTACACTCCACACATAGCAGATCAACAACCAATCCTACACTCCACACATAGCAGACCAACAACCAATCCTACACTCCACACATAGCAGATCAACAACCAATCCTACACTCCACACATAGCAGATCAACAACCAATCCTACACTCCACACATAGCAGATCAACAACCAATCCTACACTCCACACATAGCAGATCAACAACCAATCCTACACTCCACACATAGCAGATCACCAACCAATCCTACACTCCACACATAGCAGATCAACAACCAATCCTACACTCCACACATAGCAGATCAACAACCAAGCCCAGAGCGGGGCAATGGCGAAAAGGGTACGTACCTTGAAGGAAGCTGCCTTTTTGGCAGACGACGGAGTAGAACCAGGTGTATCCAGATGTGATGTACAGGTACCCAATTCAATCTTCGGGTCCTTTTCAATCTCAATAAGTCCTTCCATGAAGCGACTTGTTTTGAGAGGGCGCGCATATTTGGCCTTGTGCTCCTCATACCGAAGAAGACACTTTGAACCAAGCCATCCTCTATAGTCCAGTAGAATAAGACACACATCAAAGAAGCAATAGCACACGCATGCACACATACACACACATTTATACATACAAATACCCACGCACGCGCACACGCACACACACGCACACACATACACACACATTCATACATACAAATACCCACGCACGCGCACACGCACACACACGCACACACATACACACACATTCATACATACAAATACCCACGCACGCACACACACACCCACGCACACGCATGCGCACATACACACACATTCATACATACGAATACCCACGCACGCACACACGCACGCACACGCATGCACACATACACACACATTCATACACACAAATACCCACGCACGCATGCACACACGCACGCACACGCATGCACACATACACACACATTCATACATACAAATGTCCACGCACGCACACACACACGCACACGCATGCACACATACACACACGTTCATACATACAAATACAGTCTAGGGGTGAAACGATTAGTTCGAATATTCGAGTATTCGTTCGAAAATTTCAAACTAGCGAGTATTCGAAATTTTGCACTCGATCGTTTTTTTTTTTTTTTTTTTTTTTTTTTTTTTTTAGTATTGGCATTCTATTTTTCAAAAACTTCTGTTGTACCGCTCGTCGACTGGTATGCATGCGTTATGCATGCATTTGAGTCAGTATTTTTTGACTTGGACGATGCGAACACCATGCAAAAGAAAACGTTAGTTTGTTATGAGATAATGAAAGTACTGGTGAAAATCGTTACTCTACACGCTGTACAAGACGTTGGCGACTTTTGTTCTATGTTCACAGATAATTTCTTCCGAATTGGTCGAGAACTCACAAATCTAGCGCTTTTGAATTTTGATAAAATACTCGAAATAATCGGATACTCGATCGAATATTATGAATGAGTGATCGGTTGGTCAAAATAGATACTCGTTTCACCCCTAAAATACACACACACACACACACACACACACACACACACACACACACACACACACACACACACACACACACACACACACACAAATGCACACACACCTTGACCTTGACCTTTGACGCCCATCGCCGGAGGCGATGATAGCAATGCTACGGCAGAAGCCATAGCAACTTGTGCTGGGATTGCACCATTCAACAGCTTGCAAGGCTGAAGAATTGCCCATCACTATTCAGCCTGGTCTACACCATACAGCTATTTGAAGTGATTTTTCTGGCCAGTGAATCCCTATTTTTGGTCTTTTCATTTTTATTTATTTATTTTCCCGCACACACATCACACCACATACTCCGGCATGCACTGGCTGTTGGTAACCACACGCACACACACGCACACACATACACACACATTCATACATACAAATACCCACGCACGCGCACACGCACACACACGCACACACATACACACACATTCATACATACAAATACCCACGCACGCACACACACACGCACGCACACGCATGCGCACATACACACACATTCATACATACGAATACCCACGCACGCACACACGCACGCACACGCATGCACACATACACACACATTCATACACACAAATACCCACGCACGCATGCACACACGCACGCACACGCATGCACACATACACACACATTCATACATACAAATGTCCACGCACGCACACACACACGCACACGCATGCACACATACACACACGTTCATACATACAAATACAGTCTAGGGGTGAAACGATTAGTTCGAATATTCGAGTATTCGTTCGAAAATTTCAAACTAGCGAGTATTCGAAATTTTGCACTCGATCGTTTTTTTTTTTTTTTTTTTTTTTTTTTTTAGTATTGGCATTCTATTTTTCAAAAACTTCTGTTGTACCGCTCGTCGACTGGTATGCATGCGTTATGCATGCATTTGAGTCAGTATTTTTTGACTTGGACGATGCGAACACCATGCAAAAGAAAACGTTAGTTTGTTATGAGATAATGAAAGTACTGGTGAAAATCGTTACTCTACACGCTGTACAAGACGTTGGCGACTTTTGTTCTATGTTCACAGATAATTTCTTCCGAATTGGTCGAGAACTCACAAATCTAGCGCTTTTGAATTTTGATAAAATACTCGAAATAATCGGATACTCGATCGAATATTATGAATGAGTGATCGGTTGGTCAAAATAGATACTCGTTTCACCCCTAAAATACACACACACACACACACACACACACACACACACACACACACACACACAAATGCACACACACCTTGACCTTGACCTTTGACGCCCATCACCGGAGGCGATGATAGCAATGCTACGGCAGAAGCCATAGCAACTTGTGCTGGGATTGCACCATTCAACAGCTTGCAAGGCTGAAGAATTGCCCATCACTATTCAGCCTGGTCTACACCATACAGCTATTTGAAGTGATTTTTCTGGCCAGTGAATCCCTATTTTTGGTCTTTTCATTTTTATTTATTTATTTTCCCGCACACACATCACACCACATACTCCGGCATGCACTGGCTGTTGGTAACCACCCAGGAGAATGAAAGAAAAGTCAGGAAGAGTCTGAGAAAGAGAAGAAAGACGTGTGTGACCATAATCGTCGGGAATCGAACCCGCAACCTATCGATTGGAAATCGCTGCACATACCACTGCACCACACACACACGCACGCACACACACACACACACACACACACACACACACACACACACACACACACACACACACACACACACACACACACACACACACACACACACACACACACACACACACACACACACACACACACACACACACACACACACACACACACACACACACACACACACACACACACACACACACACACACACACACACACACACACACACACACACACACACACACACACACACACACACACACACACACACACACACACACACACACACACACACACACACACACACACACACACACACACACACACACACACACACACACACACACACACACACACACACACACACACACACACACACACACACACACACACACACACACACACACACACACACACACACACACACACACACACACACACACACACACACACACACACACACACACACACACACACACACACACACACACACACACACACACACACACACACACACACACACACACACACACACACACACACACACACACACACACACACACACACACACACACACACACACACACACACACACACACACACACACACACACACACACACACACACACACACACACACACACACACACACACACACACACACACACACACACACACACACACACACACACACACACACACACACACACACACACACACACACACACACACACACACACACACACACACACACACACACACACACACACACACACACACACACACACACACACACACACACACACACACACACCTTCCTTCCTTCCTTCTTCCACTGCCATGACTGGCTATGTGGCCTCATACGGGGCAGACCAGGAGACGTGTTGTCCACCGGGCGGGGAACGCCATACTCAGCGCGCGCGGGCCGCGCGAACAGCGTTACACTTGTGCCTCGCAATGTCCTGCGGCCGACGAAAACTGCGCGCACAAGTGCCACAGATGAGGGGCTTCGCCACAGGCTCCATGCGGGCCTGGACAATTGCGTCGACAGCATCACGGCAGGTGACTCGCCATCCCTGTCGATCTTGGACGATGTCACCAAGCTGCTCCAGAGGAACGCCAACAGCCATCAAGTCGCACTTCGCGGAGTCCTTCCAGCGCTTACGGGGTCCATGCGGTGGACGTTTGGAGGGTAATGCGCCGTACAGCAGCTGACGAGGGATCCGATCTGGCATGCGGGACACGTGGCCAAGCCATCGAAGTCGGCGGACTCTGACTTTATCCGCGATCTCTTCCATATCGCCCCACATCCTGCGAACCTGGAGAGAGGAGATGTGCTCCTCGATCTGCCGGCCACGATTTATCTTCAGGATGGAACGCACGCACTGCAGGTGAAAGGACTCCAGGCGACGGACATCACGCTCCCTGACGGTCCAACTCTCAGATCCATAAAGAAGGACCGCCAGGACAGTCACTCCATACACGATGCGCTTGATGGCGATGCTGAAGTCATCACTGGCGAAAACCGACTCCCGCAGTGTACAGAACGCACCCGATGCAGCAGCAACTCGCCGAGACACATCAAATGAGCTCCGGGCGTCTGGCGTAACATGACAACCGAGATAGCGAAAGGCCTTAACGTGGTCAACAACACCATCCAAAGGGGTCCGGTCGGCATCCACAATACCAGCCCCAGCCGCCATGAATTTGGTCTTGGACATATTGACACTAAGGCCAAACGCACCAGCTACATCCCTGAACGAGGATAGAGCCCTCTCAGCACCAGCATGCGTAACTGCGAGCAAGGCTGAATCATCCGCAAACTGACACTCCGTCAGCCGAACTCTGCGATACTCTGCCAATCTGGTGTTGAAAAGCCGCTCCCTCCGAAACTGGACGAGTGGGATCCCCAGCTCACCATCATCAGCAATCACGCCACGCCATCTCTCGAAGACTGCACACATGTATAGGTTAAACAAAACCGGGGCCATAGTACAACCCTGCCGCAAGCCATTCTCAACCCGAATCGGTGCAAGCAGGTCTCCACCCACACGAATACTGGCAGTCATGTCGCTATGGAAGGAACTGATGATGGTGATCAGATTCCCTGGGACGCCAAGTCTAGCCAACACTCTCCACATAGCACTCCGCGGAACCGAGTCGTACGCTTTCTTCAGATCGATAAATACAGCGAAACCTTTCGTGGCATGTTCGTGCAACTTTTCCAGGATCTGCCGCACAGCAAATACCATATCCGAACAACCACGGCCCCTGCGGAAACCACACTGCGAGTCAGGCAAGCACCTTTCTCCGAGAACCTGCAGACGATTGGCAATCATGCGAGCAACTAGCTTTCCAGCCACATCCAGTAACGATATCCCACGCCAGTTGTCGCAAGACCCCAGGTCACCCTTCTTGGGGATGGGGACGAGGATAGCATCAGACCAATCCTGTGGAACGCTGCCAGTCTCCCACACCACCCGTATCAGTTCATGCAACCTCGCAATCAGGGTAGGGCCACCGTACTTCAGCATCTCCACAGATATCTCGGATCCGCCGCATGCCTTGCCACACTTCATCCCTCGCAATGCACGCCAAATCTCATCACACTCAGGCACGACACCAAGCTCCGTCATAACCGGCCGCTGCTCGATCGAATCCACTACCTCCAAGTCGTACGCACTGGCAATGTTCAGGAGGCCATCGAAATGTTCACGCCACCTTCCACCGGTGGCCTCTGCCGTGTCACAGATCTCTCCTTGCTTGTTTCTGATAGCAGTTGCTGCACGGGGACGCATACCACCCAAGGTGGTCTTAATGTTACCGATACACTCCCAACCGCTCTTCGCCGTCAAGCCAAACCATTCACAATCCTTTGCCTGTCTCAGCAGCCAGTCTCGCTTCAGCCTCCGCATGGTGCACCGCGCCGCACTACGAGATTTCTTGTACAAATCCAGATCACTGGCCTTCCGCGTTGACATCCAGGTTGAGTAACAACTGTCCCGATCACGGAGTACCGACTCGATCTCAGTGCGCTTGTCTGTAAACCATTCTGGCTGTCGGCGCCTCTCCCGACCCAGGCAGTCGCTGGCAACGTTGATGGTGGTCGTCCTGAGGGTACTCCACCACTCCTCGATGGACGGATTCGGGGTCCAAACTTTCTCCAGCTCAGCATCCATGCCCTTGGAGAATCTCTCACGCGCAACCTCCATATCCTCCGGAGCACCACTACGCAGGAGGAAGCATTGAAACTCTAGAACCGATGTTGTGTGTGTGTGTGTGTGTGTGCATTTGTGTGTGTGTGTGTGTGTGTGTGTGTGTGCGCACACACACACACACACACACACACACACACACACACACACACACACACACACACACACACACACACACACACACACACACACACACACACACACACACACACACACACACACAAACACACACACACACACACACACACACACACACAACATCGGTTCTAGAGTTTCAATGCTTCCTCCTGGCCCAGCAAATGCACCTGAAGAACATTGTAGGCTTTCATAGGCTAGAGCCATGCTGGCTACGTGTAGTGCTACCTTGGTTTATTCCAGCAGCATTTACACAGAACTATCATCTTGGGATACGGAACAAGTCAACGACTGTGATGCATGTATAAAGTACACTACACTTTTAAAGCACAGCTGCGCTCACTGAAATCCGACCCAAAGTACAAAACTGACGCCCTGGACCAGTTTCCGATTACATCACTGTACTTGTACATGTGTTTGTCCTGCCGCATTCGTACCACTTCTATGGGGTCCAGGGTCGTGCAAGTCGAGGGCGCCAAATTTGCACTTTGGGTCGAATTTCACCGAGCGCAACTGTACATGATTGTGCTCCGTGCACTTCATGCACAGTTGGAATTCCCGGCCCGTAACACGGCTGACTCAAGCTGCAAAAACCCGCGCACAGAGTCTCGGGGCCAGTGCCAGTGGTCACCAAAGCTGGGGATTTCCCTCTACTCAAGGATACAAGTATAGTACAATAGTACTCAAGACCTGAGGGTTTTCTCAGCACCAGGTCTTCACACTCAGCTTTCACCCTGGTGAATATGCGGAATCAGCATGATCTTCAGCTCGCTAAACATATCTTCAACTCCTATTCCTTGCTCTTCGCACTGTGCGGAAGCTGTACGAACATCTTTGCGTCGGCCAAGCGTGTTGATGACGACATGATGACATCCCGTATCTTGTCTTGTCCGGTGTACGCAGAGAACTAGTGTTGGGGACATTGAAATCCGGTGGAAAGACCGGGGCCGGCGCCCTTACTTGCTTAGCGCGTACACGTACTGTAGTGCACGAACACACTGCAAAAAAATGGACCAGCAGTGTTCACGGCTGCAAGGCCAGTGCCCCGTGGCCACTTGAGTTCTCAATGGATTTCAATGTCCGCTACGGTAGTTGCATCAACTTGCATGTCACAAGCGGTTCATCACATCCAAGCTTTACATGCTCGAGGAACATCTCGGATCATGCAAAAGGCATGCTCTGCAAAACTTACGTTTCATGAGTACCGAAGAAGAAGATCTGCATACGCCTGTCGTTACTTGCATCATCAACCTGCCAACAACGATCACACACACACACACACAAACACGCGTGCGCGCGCGCGTGTGCACGCACATGTACATGCACACACACACACACACACACACACACACACACACACACACATACCATGCACCATGTATACGCCCGTCGCAAGAGAAGCACGGAAATCTGCAAATGCACTGGATGTGCACCCACAGATTTTCTCTTATAGCAACGATAGCGAACAAGATCTGAATGAGACAGATCAAGACTTGCGCCAGATAACTGTCTAATCCACACAACTGGCGAAGCCATGTGAATCGACCACCAATGCACACCTGGTCTACACCACACGGAGTACATCGGCATAAAAGGGCCAAGACAGTTACACACACATACACACACACACACACACACACAGCGTGTTTTCCCAAGACAGCCAGGGGAATCAATCTCATAAATGGAAGGCGCAGCATACATGCGGTCGTCGGGTGGGTGTAAAGGATTTCTAGGAACAATGGACAGTCATTGCTTTGACATTGTCTCTTCGATTTCCTTAGTTCAAGACAACATGTTGTGTTATGCGTGGTTGTCACTACCGCTATGGAGGAAAGGATGAAATGGATGTTGTGGACTAAAATCCTCGGCTGGAGAACCGTATATTGGCACTCGCACCACTTACTATGGTGTGTGCAGTAGTGCTGCGACGAAATACAAATGATGATCCATACTGGAGATGTGGTAGAGCTAGGTGTTAGGTTGTTGAATGTCTCAGTAGCAAATGGCATTTCGGCAACGGTTTATTTTCGGCGTATCACCAAGGCAGCCGTGAAAATTGGGGATTTGGCCCCCACACTGGCCACAGGTCCAGGATATGTCTGGTAATACAATCAGTCATGTACAATGCGCACTCTACAAATTACGTTCACTTGGTTAACGTCGGGACAGCACCCATACTGGAGTTGCACACTCTTTGGCAGTTATTATTATACTCTTCCCAGTACTCCTCCCCCCCCCCCCCCCCCCCCCACCACCACCACCAAATTTTAATTCCGCCCTCCCTCACTAAATTCACGATACCATCCTCTGTTATTCACCATGGTATTGGTGCACCACCACATTTCTTATACGTTCTTTCTACGCCATGGCTGGCAAACGCCCCCTCCTCATCTATAGTGGCACTGATTCATCTTTAGCCACTGGAAGGTGTAATAATAATAATCCACCTAGAAACCAGCACTGTATTGTTGGTGTGGCTTTATAGAGCGCATTTGATTTCCGAAACAGACTGTACATGTGGTGGAGTCCATGCATGATTGTACTCACCCTGGCAGGCCAGTGCGGGTATCCCTTCATCTTCGCCCACACTAAATCGCCTTTCCGATATTTATCCATATTATAATGGTCTCGATGGTCTGAATCAGGGCACTGACTGTCCCCAGGAGAAATTCTACACACTTTCTTTCACGAATTTAACTTGTTGTATGATCGATCTATAGAATGACGGAGGAGTTCTGCTACTCCTTTGCCAAAAGAACCGAAGTAAGTCGAACTAGTGATGGCAATGGATACTCTTAGACGTGATCTAGGACAGCTGCTTGTTAGTGAAAGTGCAGAACTTGGGACAGCACTTGTTCGCGCAGAGCCCCGCGTGCTACTAGAAGTATCACTCTACTTGGAAGTAGTTGTTCCATGGTTACTTCAGTAATTCTTCAAATCAACAAACGCGATCGCCTTTCCCAAGGCAAAACCATGAAAACTGAGGTCGAACATTCCAAGCAGAATCAAACGCACTGAGATAAATCAATCAGTCTTTTCGAAATCAAAATCAGTCTTCACAGTAGTTCTGGTCTTCACTCTTCAAGGAGTACACGTACACTGACTCGTGATCGTGAGTCTAGTCGTGTTAGTGCACGCGCGCGCGCGTAGATCTACGGTCGCGTGCACGTGCACACCGCGACGCGTGTTCAACATCCTGTGACTGACAGTTGTGTTACATGTATGTAGCCTTGCCAACCAAAAACCTAGCGCCTAACGACGTAACGTAAACATACTAAAATTTAAATTTGTGAGGGAAAAAATACACTTTTGTTTTGTTTTTACAAAATACACAACTCACCGCGTAGATCTACCGCCAGTACGAGTACCGGTACGAGGTGATTTGGCTTTTTTTAACATGGTTGTAAAATGACGTTTTTTCAGTCACTTCTAGACAAGCTACGTCCTAATGAATTGTTGCAAGTGGAAGTGCTATCCTTCATGCCTGTTGTGTCCAAAAATGGGAATGATCCCACTTTGGAAAGTGTCTTGAATCATCTCCTACTTTCCTAGTATTCTCAGGATTCAAATAATTGGTGTGTCATTTTTTAACAAATTTGTAAAATGGCATCACAAACTGGGATATTCGGTCATCAATGTTCTGAAGTTGATAGATATCACTTCAAGGATTGCTAGTGGATGAAAATTAATCTGTCAACAGAGGAGTGAACTGCATTGTATGCTGCGAAAGCCGTGTTTTTGTATTTGTAACTAGTGGCTGTGTTATACGGTGGAATTGGATAGGTAGCATAGCATAGCAGCCATGTTTTCGTTCTCACAGAGTGTATTCCGCGACCTACTGTTCTTCATTACTGTCTTTAGTGATGGCAAGACGGCCTGAAGTCGTCCAAAGGCCCTGCGGAAGCAATTCACTGTCCTCCTCGTCCATTCAGGGGCTCATTTTACACATTTTACACAAAATGGCAAAGTACCCACCACTAGTTATACCGACGTAGCAGGGAGAATTAAAATTATATGCACCAAATGTTCTGGTCAATGTTGATCTACGATAAACTGGCTCTTATTTGCCACCACCCATGTTTCGATACAGCCATCCGGAGCAGAGAAACAGCCAGAAGAAAAGCAAATTTTACACATTTGTTAAAAAATGGCAAATGTTAAAAAAAGCCAAATCACCTCGTACCGGCAGGCACATCACATGCCATGCATGGCCATAATGATATGGGCTAGCATGGGGTGAGATATGGATTATGGTGCTTGTGGGGCTTGCCAAGCTCAACCGACCAGAGGTCTCGGCATCTTCACATGGCAGGCGCACCAAATTCGGGAGGGAAGCATAAGCATGAGGGGAAAAAAGCATGGGAGAAAATGGAAGATTTAGAACGAAGGAGAGGATCTAATTTTGGAACACAGCAGAAAATAGCGAATAATCAAACAGATAATAGGAGTGAAAGGAGAGTGTCGAATGAAGGGTGCAATAGGGTAGCAGTGGAGATTGGCTACTCAGGATTGGCGACAATTAGGCTTGGGGTGGGAGAAGCAGGAGCATAATCCTGGAGGAGGCTAGAGGCGGTCGGTTGCCCAGTCCCAGTCAGACTGCCTCAGGTGGTCATAGACTGCTTCATTTCAAGTGGATTGTAGTGAGCGAGTTCTGGGAGCGTGGGCGAACAGGGGGCATTGTGCAGGAGGTGTCAAAGTTATTCTCAAGGCTGCATTTATCAGCGAAGTACTGGCATATGAGTTCGGCTTTCTCGGTATTTCTGGTGTGCTCATTGCCTTGGCTGTCGACGAGAACTGGGATAGAGCTGTCTCTACCGAGCCCTCCGGAGCGCTTGATCAGGCTCCACCACTCCTTATCCTGGAGGCTGCCTGTTGCAAGCTTCGCTCTGGTGCGCAGGAGATGTGCTTGCTTAGCGCTGGATACTAGTAGTCGCTGCACAGAAGCCAAGCATGCCCGTCTAACTCTGCCTGAAGAACAGGATTGGTCGAGTGCTTGCGGAGTCGGCGCCATGCCTGACGTTTGGTGGTAACAGCAGCTGAGCTTTCGGGAGTCCACCAGCTAGGGTCTCCTGGTCGCGTCTTCAGGACTTTCCTTTGGGATTGACCGTCCCATGCCCTCAAAAATACGCCTAGTTACATTACTGCAGGAGGAGTCAAGATCATCAGTGATCAGTTCGTTCCACGCGGTTGCTCGGTAGAAGTCTGTGAGCCGAGGCCAATCAGCATGTTGGTAACGCCAAATGGTCCGGGTGGCTGGCAGATCATGGGATGGAGTTAGCTGGAAGTCGGTGGTGATTACTGCATGGTCTGATCGACCAAGGGGTGGGTACATGGTGGTTTTAACCGCACCGGGGACATCCGACATGACTAAGGGACATCCGACATGACTAAGTCAAGGGTGTTCCCGCCTCGAGTGGGCTCTGACACATGCTGCTCAAGGTTGTGGATGTAGCACAGGTCTTCGGCGGCTTCTCCGGCTGCTGTTGTGCGGCTGCTGCCAAGCCATTCATGGTTGTGGACTGAGTAGCACCAAGAGTATACCGATAATGATTACCGGTATGTACTCTTGGTAGCACAAACAGTCCAACATGCATAATCATTACTAGGAATAACACTGATCCTTTGAATTATTTGAAGTTCTCCTAATTTCTGGTGTTAGACTGACTGCTATTTTTTGCGCCCCCCTTTTCACACATGCTACATGTTCCTGTCCCAGCCATGAGCGCGTGTCGTTATCACCTGACCTTGTTATCACGTTTGTCACTTAGGGTATGCCACGTTTCTATGCAGAATGAGCGCAATTGCGCCAATTTAGCCCTATACAGATAAGCGTCCAGCGGATAATGCTCCGAAAATGTTCGTATAATGCTAATCATAATGCTCCAAAAACTACCTTGTAATGCTGATTAGAATGCTTCAACAAGGCTAGCTATAATGCTCTTGGTTTGGAACAAAAATGGAAGAAAGGCTGCACATTGTCAAACTTCCAGGAAAGGACGCATTTAGTCGATCTGCCTCTGAAGCTGCTACAATATCTCTCACGAGCTCCACCACTTCTTAGCACTATAAGACATGATCGTGTCTCAATTGGCTGCTCTCCATTGTAACTTTGGTGCAGGGCTCTGGCTGAAGAGTGGGTGTATCAAATCTTTTCCCTTGCTTATCTATGTAGTGAGAGGCGAACCCATTATTGCTGGTGATCATTTGGATGCTGGAAGCATATCATGGGAAGTGGTATTCCTGCCTGCAGACAAGCTGTCACTGCTTCCACTCTGTGAAAAATGTCTTCATCTGAAACAGCTCAAGTGAGGCCAGTCGAAAGACGATCTCAGATCGAGATCCCTCCCATTTGCGGAAATCCTGAAAACAAGTGGTCAGAAGTTATTTTGCCGCTCTACATCCTCTGCTTGCGCTGTCTTCTTCTCCTGAGGTTGCGTGGAGACAAATGCTTGGCCAGTGCCCACATACTCTTCTTTTCTGATAGCACTTGACTGTGGGCCTTGCATTACAATCGTCCACGACGAACTGTACGTGCTTCACTCGGAGTTGTAAAGAACGATGATGTATCTCTAGTGAGGACCTGATCGTGCAGTATATATTATATACATCAAGGTGCTGCGGCTGTTCAAGCTGCAACCGGACTGACAACTTTATCACGTGTTTGTTATGGTACTGCATTCCCATCATGTGTTGTTTCCCGCATTTTTCCACCGCTCCATACATTCTTATGGTAGTGTAGTGTGAACTTGAGGCGCGTAAGAATATTCTTGCTGATTCTCTACCCCCAGTATAAATTCTGGCTTCGTTTTCGTTCTTGCTCATTCCCATGTAACTACTGATGAAAATGGGTGAAAAGCTTTTAGTACTATGAAATTGACAACCTTGTTGTTGTGTGTACATGTATAACGAAGTGCTAACTCTAACGAGTTAACGAGGAGAGATCTGTCGTTAAAATAGAAATCGTTATACAGAAATCGATACAATACTGTTGCTATTGAGCGTTGAGAATGAGTGAGAATCGTTACCTTTTGTTCACGTAAACCAGTCAATTTTAGGAAATCGTTATATATATGCGCCTCGTTAGAATAATGACTTTCACAGTATTTATTTCCTCTCTAACAGATACATTCGTCCGGTGATCAGTGAACGGAATCCTGAGAAGGTGTCGATAGCTTCTCATTTCGAAAGCCTCGATCTTTTTCACAATTTCAGCAGTTAAGGTCCAAGACTGGCAAGCATAAAGGAATATGGATAAATCAATAGCATTGAGTAGACGCGTAATTTCGAGCCGATGCTGATGTTTCTATCCCTCCAGATTGTTACTAGTCGTGCAACAGCAGCCGAGGCTGCTGCGATCCGACTCCTCACTTCTTTGATTGAACGCTGATCATCAGTAATCGTGCTACCCAGATATTTAAACTCGTCAACCTGCTCGAGCTGCTTCCCGTAGATGGCTATGCTTGCGGACAGACCTTTGCTTGCTCCCGTTACCATCAGCTTACTCTTCTCAGTGCTGATTTCCATGCCGTATGATTTTGGTGTGCTGGCCAGCCGGCCGGTAAGGTCTTGCAGTTCTTCCTCGCTGCCAGCTACTAGATCAATGTCATCTGCAAATCGCAGCTCTGTTATAATGTGTCCACCAATGCTAATGGAACCCGCGAATCCCTCTAATGATCTAGATACCAGTTCTTCCAAGAAAATGTTGAATAGAGAGGGTGATAGAATGCAACCTTGCCTAACGCCAACGGTGGCATGGAACCAACTGCTAACCGTTGTTCCTACTCTTACAGCATTCTCGGACTGCTGGTACAGGGACTCGATCAGTGTGATGATAGTCGGGCTAAGCCCACACTTGCGCATTATCTTCCACAGGGCTGCGTGCCACGCAGAGAATGAGTCGGAGGAAGATAAATCATCATCCATCACTGGACTATCAGTCATCACCGGTGCACCCGGCACCCCCATCATCGCGACCATGGCGGGCCATTGGCGGCCCAGCAACTTGTCCAGTTTTGCTTCGTAGT